TTGTATGTATGTTTGTTTTTAATTATGCTGAGCTGAACTAGATTTTGCATCTCTGTAAAGAATTCAGGAATCCACTGTCTAAGGGCTAATCCCATTTTGCCTATGCAAATCTGTTACTGTGGGTGAGTTGGGAAAGGGCGAACTACCGCACCTTTCATCGGGTTTAGATGGACCATGGTTTACATTGCCCTTTGCTGGTATTCTTCAATCTTATTCAGCAAAAATGTACGCTTATTTTTGTTTCTATATAAATATATATAAAATCTATATATATATATAACAAGTAATATACAGAGAAAATAGTATATGCCTTCGTGATGATAAAAAAAAGAAACCTTTCTGAAAACAAATAAATGTGTGGTTGTCTGACATTATGTTGCTGTGTGCTGGAGTCTTGGTAAGATGATAAAGATGACTGAAATTAAACTGACAGTTAAGAGGGGAAAAAGTAATTTCTCAGTAGTAGCTGACCCTGTGCAGTAGTTGTGAAAGCATTGTTTATTTAAGGCTCAACCACATCATGACTGTCTGTGACACATTTTTTTATCCAGCCTTGGCCTGTTATGTTAATTAGGTATGTGGGCCAATATCGATTTGTCATAGTTTTTATTGTTAATTTTGGTTAATTTTACAGCAACACCGTTACTTTTGTTAAGCAAAGGCTATTGTTGCCCCAGCGGACAGTTGGGGGGGGGGGGGGGATAAGGGCAGATGATGGGCTACATGTGCAAAATAGCACAAGTAGAATAGAGTCATCATAAAGTCAGCAAAATTCAGTAATGTCAATAACATCTGTTTAAAGTTTGCCAACAATAGCCACAACAATTGAGTGGTCTCACCAGACCAAGTGAGGCTGAAGCACCAAAACCTTTGAATAAATTAGCCGAGGTGCATTAACTGTTTAACAATTTGTTATTTGTTTGACAACTTTTATCTCTAAATTAAAAAGTTGCAGAGTCTGACTTTGAAGGGCTGAGTTGGAGCAAACCTTGAAACAAGATGGGTCATTAATGGTATCTGCATTTGAGATGTGCACTGTCCAAACAAGCAAGTCACATTATAAAACCAGTATGTCATTCATAAAAAAAATCCACAAATCATGAAATCATAAAGAGTTTATCAGGATCTTTTCATTGTTTGTCAGTGAAAGCTGATGTGAGTCTCAAAGTAAAGCACCGTGTCATCAGCAAACAACAGCAACTTATTTTTCTATTCTTCTTGTTCTTTTTGTAGCCATGTCCATTCAGACTATCACTGTGTTAATATGGTAGCATTGATAAAGGAAACATCAGCAAAAGTGGGTTTTCTTTTTAATACTCCACTGGAGAAAAGTCAGTAGTATGTTACTGAGAAGATCGATCTCGCAAGCCATCTCCAGCTTCTAGTTGAGGTTCGATTTTGGGTTTGATAATTTATTTTCTTATTTTTTTACAGACGATTTAGCTCCTGAACAGATATGGAAGTGAGAATAGAAGGGGTTGATGTATACATTTATCCAACTATTCCTCACAATGTATCATGGCTCTAGAAAGGTTGATTTGAAACCTAGTTTGTGTGTTCCCTGTGTGTTGGATTTGGTGCCTCTTAATGCTTCAAAACAGACCTCGAGATCTCTTTCTGTCTTTTTTTGCTCTGTCTGTCTCACTTCCTCTCCCTGTAAAAACAAACGATGCTGTTAGCAGTAGGAGCAGAGACAGCAAAATCACACAGATGTTTGTTTCCTCCGACATAAATGGTCACCCTCATTATTTGGTTTGAACCTCTCCGAGGGGTGTTTAAGCTACAAAGGAAAGTGATTATGCTCGTGCAAGTACTGGATGAAGTTGGATTGAAACAGATTTAGGCAATCACTTTTCTCTTTATTGATTTAGATGCCTAAGCCTCAAGGGTTTTTTTGTCATGCCTTTGTAGATAGATCGCAGATGATCCGTGGGTGAAAACAAAAACAATTTTACAGTCACTTTAGGCGATTAAAAAAAGTGAAATTTTTTCTATTCAGCATGCTTTTGCTAAATAAATGAAATAATTCAGTTATTTGCTATAAACGATACTGTATGAGTATGTATTCAAGTACTGCAGTATGCAGACAATTAAAAATATCAGAAACTCTTTTAAGAGGTTCATATTTTTCTTCTAGTATGTTTCACTAATATTGATGGTTATGAGTTCTCAATTCTTGTTTTGAGTGTCTTATGAATTGCCAGAATAACTTAATGACCCTATTTGTATTAACAAATATACTCTATGGCTGGTTACTTACTACCACATGCATGTCTTGCCGAGTAATTTAACCAAGACAGTGATAGGTGCAGTCTTTTTTTTCCGATCAGAAGTTAGGTCAATCCAGAGCAGCAACTTTGTTTTTCTGGTTGCTTGACAGCTTTGATGATGACTGGGTTCCTGACCATTTCATTGACACCAAACTAGGAAATTTGATCCTAGTGGTCACTGCTGGTAAACAAGGATATGCAAGTGAAATATATTCCCTTAAAGACCATTATCTTTCTGCACATAGAGAATGAGGGCTCTAAAGGCTTAGCATCAAACAGCAGCCACAAAGAGTAAGCCTATGAGTTCAACAAATTGTGCAACTTCCTTGAACATCTCAGAGCACCGTGTTGCTAACCCTCAGGGTCGGCCTGAAGAAACATCGGGTTGCTTTTCATCATGACTTTGAATTTTATCAAAGGAAACTGATCATCACTTGTTGATACTCGGTTGCTATCAAAAAGCGCCCTGAGATGCAAAAAAAACCTTCAAGTGTAGCAGTAGGGGGGAAAGATGTCTCCATTACAAGTCCAACCTTGAAGAATATACTGTAAAGCTGTACTTCAAGAAAATGCTGGTACAAATTAACAGAACTACTTATTATGAAACGTTTACATTGCGAGAAACAAAAAATAATTTTAGCATTGGCAATTCCCTGCTTGATAGTGCAATGCAGACGTGACAGTATTTTAATCAAGGAGAGTAAAATAAAAGTTAGTTAAAACATTTATAACAAAAATTTGCTGAGTAAAGCAGTAGTTAAAATGTGAGGGGTGTGTGGAGTCATCTTCTTCCTAAGTTTTAGAAGAGCAAATTGATACCACTCTTGAATCTGTGCTCACTGTGAAGCTACAGCCATACAGCTAATTTGTTTAGCTAGTACTAGCTAGTAGGTTGAAACTGCGTGCCTGGTTCTGTTCATATCAAAAACCCACTCAATTTTGTCATGTACATGTATGAACAACAGCGACAAATGTAAAACAAAATGTTGATATTTGTTTAAAAGGGGGTAAAGTTTGAGACTATTCCAAGATAGCTAAACATGAATTGTCTTGTCTTGCCAAGCTAAGCTGCCCGTCTGCTAGCTCCACTTTCATATTTATCATACAGACTTGAGAGTGGTATTACTCTTCTCAACTAACTTTCCACAAGCAAATACATATATTTATGAGGTATAAAACTACCCTTTCAGAAGATAAAATAACAGTTTAGCTATACATTTTTAAAAGAATGAAAAAAACAGGTTTAATTTGTGATACAGTGGTCATGAGACTGTACATGTGAGTAAGATATAACAGTACTTTATTGTTGGAAATTATCTATCTTTTGTTTCAATGTAAGCAGGTCAAAGTTATCATTATAAAATGAAACATTGTGTTCGACTCAAATTGTTCCTTTCCATTAAACACAATTTGTTTTTTGCTGTTATTTCTGTCATCTCTGAATCATCCATTTTATAATCTATTTCATATTAAACATGAAGGACTTTGTAAACCTGATGTGGATTAAAAGCAACCACATCAGGTCCTACTGAAATTGTAACCATGTCACATAAAAGAAATATGGTGAATATTTTCATTTGTTTTGAATTATTTTTAATTTATTTTAACAGGATGCTTTTTTCAGTTATTGATATTTTTTTTATTTAATCTCAAAAGAGTTACCATTATGTCAACATTGTCATCTGTTGTGGTACATTTTGTTCTATGGTTCAGTCTCTTTGTTTACAAGATGACATCTTGCATTAAGAGAAAAACTCTAATCTATGGTAACTGCCCTTGATTATCTGTAATTTAACTAGTGCTGCTAGAGAAAGAAATCTAAATGTAACAACTTACAATAAATACTTAATAGATTTTTTCCAAGTGTGATTGTGTGGTTATTTGTCTGTATATGCATTCTGCACATTCAGTTTTGAGTTCCTATAGTTTCAGGGCCTGCAGAAGTTCAGTCGGTAGGGACTTGGGTTGGAAACCATGCTTGGGTTGGGACCAACAGAGTTACTGGTTCAAGACATAGGACCAACGTATGGAAGTTAGTCTGGTCACTGGAGTGGCACCAGTTCACTTCCAAGTGCTAATGAGGTGCCCTCAAGCAAGGCACCAAGCCCCCAACAGCTTCAGCCTCCTCACTTGGACATCTCTCCATTAATGCATGTCCACAGGTCCTGTTTGTGCATGTGTAGTTCGGGCCTATGTGTGTTAGTAGCATGACCTTCAACAACAGAGTGTAAACCCGAGTTTCCCATGGGGATTAATAAAGTATATACAATTAAAATAAAACAAAAATTTTATTTTGAGGATGTATTATTTGATTCCCTTTAATATTCAGATGCTTGTTGCCCTACAAACTTAAGGTTTCATATCTTCAGCACCGTCCTTAGCTAGCATGCTATTATGTTAACATTGAGTAGGTTGACATTATAAATACTCCACCTACTGAACATCTGCATGTTAGCATTGTTAGCAAGGAACTTTACAGACATGTTTTGGGGACCTGAGACTTAGTTAAACTTGTTGAATAGAAGTATGATATGTGCCGTTTAAGAAACTGCATCGAAGGGTTTTCTTTGTATCCGTTTGAATTGATACACTTCTTCTATCGTGCCTTGATAAAAAAAAAAAAAAGTATTTCAAAATTGTAGTAGCGTAGGGCATCATCCTACCACAAATCGCAGTTTATAAAAGCATAAAAACTTCAGGTCACAAAACAAGAGGTAGAAAAGAGGCAGCTTCATTTAAAAATGTCTTTAATTCATCAACCGGATCCAAGAGCTTGTTTTCAGACTTGTTTACATTCCGACAAACAAGGTGAGACCACATGCTGAGGGCAGGAGAGGAGGCAGGTTGGTGTGCATGGGTACTCTGTCATACAATCCTTTGAATGTATGTGTGTGTGTGTCATTTTTTTTTTGATACAGTCCTGCCTGTATATGGGCATGTGTATGGACACTCGTCTGTGTGTGTTATGTGTGTGTGTGTTCTCTCCCTACACAGTCTTTTGATCAGTCGCCTCTGGAGCTGTTGAGGCAGACGCTGAGTCCTCCAGGGTCTTGTCTAATCCCTGGCTGCAGCCTCGGTCACCTGACTGCACGCCGTCTTTCACTGTTGTAACAGCATTGGAGTAGGTTGCATCGATGCTCTCGTAAGCCTCTGATGTCCACTGAGAAGGGGGGGGGGGGGAGGAAATTGCTTATAAACAGGCTTAGCGGAACACGTTACAGAAATATTCTTCTTTAATCGTCAGATGTGATCTCACACCGTTCTGCATGTCGAATCATAAGAACATAAATATGGATTTTTCATCCTTTGCAGTTGATTAAATTGATTAAACGGATAAAAAAAACTAGCTATTAATACAATATCTAACTGTTTGTGTAAGTGTTGTATGAGGGGACCACCTCTCTGTTTGAGGAATGCCACACCCTCAGACAGCACTTTGAGACAAAGATTATGCATGTGTACCTGTTGATTTGTTCATTACCTGTGTGGCTCTGCTGCTGGACCTGTGTGAGGGCCCCATTGCGATGTTGACGCTGGACGAGGACTGCGTGTCGGTCGTGTTTCCCCCTTCAGCCGCAGATAGCCCCGAGATTACCAGTCCACTGGAGAAACTCCGCTTCCCAAACAGCAGGCTGAGAGTGGATGAAGATGAAGAAACCTGGGGAAAGGCAGCACAAAGGAAGGAGAAACGTTGTTTTAGTATTTTTGTACGAAGCTGTGCAGGGTACACGCGCGTAAGCTCATGGATTAACAATTATCAGACACAGTGGGCTGCAAGGGAAGAAAAGATTCCAGTAAATACAACATTAAAATCACATGTTCTGGTCATCAGCCGTAAAATTGAGTTATAGCTGATGAAAAGATGAAACATTAAATCTTAGCTAGAAATAACATCAATTTGTTTAAATTCTGGGACAAAATGCAAAATAATTGAGGGATTTAGTTTTCAGCATGACTGATTCTGAATGAATCTCTGAAAACAAACAATTCATGTTCTCAGAAGGCTATGAATGTTCCTCTTTGATCTCTCAGTTGTGTATTTGTACTAATACCAAACTGTGATTGAACACTCTACTACAAGTAATTGCCTTGCATTCAAAACCTTGATTAAGTACAAGTATCAGCAGAATATATGAAAAACAATCTATTAATTAGTAGTTTTCTTGCACTTTTAAAGCTGTTATGTTTTTTTGTCTCTATTGCTGATCCTTTGTTTAGTTTTCGAAAGCCTCTCTGTATAGAAGCTCTCACCTGGCTGGAGCGCTGCTGATGCTGCGCTGTCTGCAGCTGAGAGCTGATCCCACCGGCCCCTGACAGACGAGGGACCTGAGGAGAGACAAAGATCCTCTTATTGCTTTGTTCTCATAGTTAAAGCAAGCTAAAGTAGGAACACCCAAGCAATGGAGGCTGCTGTAAACCTGGGAGAAAATGGAGGCTATGGAAGTGTTGAAGGAGAGCTGGCTGTTGGACAGACGCTGCACGAGTCCGTGGGTGGAGCCTGAGTCCAGGATGGGCCCTGATTGGCTGGTGACTGGGGGACGCTGACTCTGCGGCTGCACTGACCGACTGCGGTATTCTCTCCTGGCTGCAGAAACACACACATACACTTTTAATGTGACATAAAATCATAAAATCACAATATTTCATACAACAGAAAATTGCCTGCTCTAAATGAACGATTGTTGATTTTGTCCAACCAAATAATCACTTCTGTGGATACATTTGGTTTGTATGGAGTCTTATGTAAAGTCTGGGGATTTTCTGATCATAAGTAAGGTTACATTGTAGTTAGAGCATTTTCTTTCTCATTTTGAATTGTAAGGTTGGAAAGTGACATGTTGACTGTAAAACCCTCTAAAAAGTGACTTTCTTGAGAGGAAAACGTAATCAAAGAGTAAACAAAAACAAATTGAACTCATGAAGCTAAACAAGCCCTACTGGTATTGTCATAACTGTTCATGTTTGTGGATCATGTGTTGTCTCAGTCTGTGTGTATTATATTGTGTCTTTGCTCTTGTTCTTATCCACACCTGGCAGGACCCTCACTTTGTTGCAGTTAAGGAATTGTGAGTTAATGTGAGTGAGAGATTTTCCACAAGCAAAGTAAGACACATATGTGTTAGTGTGTGTGTGCGTGTGTGTGTGTGTGTACCTGCGTTGTGGTGTCTGTGGCTGTGTGTCGTCCTGGCTCTGTGCTGATAGAGGCTCAGGCTGTTGGACGTGACGGAGGACGGGCGGTTGTTGCTCAGTGAGGAAGAACCACCAGCGCCGCAGTCCACATCCTCCATGTTCACGCCGCTGTTACAGCTGGTTAAGTTGTCCTTACGCACCCTGCAGACGACACACACAGGAAAACACGCAGAGCTCTGTTTCATTTATTCATGTGCACATTGGTAAGAGGCATGAAAAACAAACCGCGAAAGGCCATCAAAAATTTATCAAGCCTTGACTATCCTTGCTAGTTAATCACAGACATAAAGTTACACCCAGAGAAAGAGAGAGAGAGATGTTACAGAACGAGCATGCATGACACACACCATGGCAGACCTTCTCTTAAATAAGTTAAATGTATTCCTGCTGAAAAGCTTGGCAAGTCTCCTTGGCTTCTTGGCTACTTAGAGATATTAAGGCAACACCTTTTACTGAAACAGGATTAACAATCTAATCTAATCTTTAAGGACAACTCAGCCCCTTAAGAAGCTTAAGTGGGAGCCCCACACACACACACACACACACACACACACACACACACACACACACACACACACACACACACACACACACACACACACACACACACACACACACACAAGCTGCCCTGCAGAGGTTAATGCAGAGCATGTATGATAATTTGTAAAGAACGTTTTGTGTAAAAGAGGGATTGAGAATCAAGGCGAGGATAGAGGTAGACATAGAAAGAGAGGGAGTGACAGGAAGAAAGGGAAGGAGAGATGTACGGAGTCAAGTCTTTGGCTGCCATCCCACTCTGCAATCTCTCTCTCTTGTGCTCGCCCACTGTCCCTGTACATGTCTTTAAAACTGAATTAAGGTGGAGAGGAAGTCTCTCTCAAACAAACACTGAGTCAATATCCTTCTATCCACAGAGACGCACTCACTGAGCAGGGAATTAGGTATTTACGCTGCAGTTTGCATTGTATACTGACTGATTTATATCAAACACAACCAGCCATATGAGTGAATAGGTCCCACATATTATACTGTTATATGTTATGCACATCATCTCATGTGTCATATGCCTCTGATAAAACACGGTGCAGGGTACACACATCCAAAGAAAATCGTTCACAGGTGCTGGATCAGAAACCCAGCTGAAGGCAAGAATCAAAAAAGGATCCGCAGAAACATTACTTGCAAAAGCAACTTTTCGATCTCACAGATGAAGAAGATCTGTGGGATCGAAACGTTGCAATTCAATTCGCATGAAACTTGTCAGGCCAGTGTGTGGATACTTTTTTGATTCCTGCCTCCAGAGAAAAACCTCTGGGCTGATTCATTGGTTTTTAAAGGAGCAGACAGAATCTGTTTTCTAAACTGACCGTAACCATTTCGTGCAGAGCCAGGAACGAATGACATCCAGGCTTAAAGCTCCTCCTCCAATACTGCGGAGCGTGCGGTGAGTCCCTGCGTATGATGTTGTAAGTGGTGACACATACCTTTAAAAAAAAGAAAGAATAATAAATGTCAGGATTAAGGTACATCTGCAGATACACAAAGATGTAGAGATAATCACATAAAAACACTGAAATGTTCAAATTGTGTCAAAGATAGACACAAGTGAGCATCATAGATAATGCAAACTTTCACTTCAATCCTTTAACTTGATAACATGGCAGCATCCCAGTGAATGACGTACATGGGATAGCCCAGTGGCTGGTCGCAGGACGAGTTGACCATATTCCTCAGCGCCTGCTTTGAGTTCTGGATGCTACCACGCTCCGGGTTTCGGTTCCGTAAAAACACCAACTCCTGCTGTTGACCCGCCCACAGTCCACGCACACACTCCTTATTGATCTGCAGAGAGAGATGACAGAGGTGGTCAGATAGTACAGGAGGGAACATCCTGCAGGAAGTATGTAGATGGGGAAATTATATTTACAGGATATATGAAGTAATTTATGTTTGGTCCTCTTTCACTGGTAAACACAGGCAAATGGCATTAGCTTGTTTCTGGCAAAGCTTTTGGGGGCATTCATAATCATAGGAAAATGAATTATGGGAACAGAGATTAAACTGAGGGGCTAACAAACATCCTGAACTAATGTAGTGTTTTGGCTTCACACAGGAGGCCGGATGCTTTAGTTTTAACATCATCTATTCTGAAGAACTCAAACTTAATGTTGTGGAGTATTACCAGGAAATGTGTGCACTTAGCAAAGTAATTGAAGAGTCAATAGGATTGATTAGAACTGAAAGGATGGCCATTTTTGCATTGAGTTCATAAAAACCTACTTACGGATTTCTGTTTTTGCACTGAGCTCATTATATTCAGTAAGCCATAGAGGAAAGGACCTTGATCTCTGTATTTCAAATTGACATCAATTGGTACCTTTCCTGTTTCTCTTGTAAATATGATAATATGTATATGCTTTGTATAAGTCATTGTTGATAAACTTTTTGATATTCTTCGGACTATGTGGATGAATATGTTATATTTGCACATTATAGTTTTCATTTGAGGCTGTGACTCGGAATAATGTTTATCGCTATGATGGGTCATGTGACCGTTTGTATTTAACACACCTGCGTATGCCATGATTGTGATTGTGCTGGGCGAGCCTGAGGAAGCTACAGGCAGAACGAGTTGTTTGTTCACAATAAAATACAGTGACGTTATTTTCAGTGTGCCACAGATTATGGATTTACTTTTAACTAGACATGTTTGTGTCTTAACAGAAAGAAAAAAAGAGCAAGCCAGCACTTTTCAGGAGACAGCCTGACAATCAGTTCCAACCTTCTCTATCAAGATAGATTCAGCTGAGATAAGTTGTGGTTCACATGAAAAGCTAAGGCCTTTGGTGCTCCCATGTGAAGATATTACACATTTTTACTTGATAAAAAAGATACTGCATAGCTATACCTTCTGTCTGTGTAGGCACACACACACACAGACAGGTACAGTAATTGTAGCCAAATGATTAATACGCTTTCTGCACCGTCATTTTCCAAGCTTTACTAAGGCTGCAACCTGAGAAATGAAATATTCCTCGCATATAAAAATGACAAAATCCCTGCATCAAACCTCGACCTGCTTACCTTGATGACCTTGAAGCTTAGGTGGCGTTTGTACAGCATGATGATCTTATATTCGTCCGTGCCGTCATCGATCATGTGTCTGAGTGTGAGCAGCGTGTCGCGGCTGGATAGCACAGCCTTACGCCAGGCGGGGTCACTCTCGTGGCAGATGACCAGGCTGCTGCGGTAGTTGGTGATGGCTTCGTACAAGATAGATGCCTCCTCGGTCTCCTCCAGACAGGTGAAGTGATCCTGAAAGGGCGGGAAAAGGCATGATGGAGCACTGCGGGATTTCATCACATTAAAGGGAAATGTCTGCTCCAGGGATGAGTAATGGACATGTTTGAGATATACTAGAAGCTTTTAATGTCTACAGAGACAAAGGACATGGATTTACAACACTAAAGTTACAGCATGAGGAAGCAGCAGCAGCAGCATCCATTTAAAAGCACAGCACACTTTACCTGATGCAGTTTGAGGCTCATTCTGACTGCAGGAGCGACCACTTTCTGCAGGAGGTCCAGATCAGTAAAAACCCACTCGTCTTTGGTGGCGATGCGGAAGTCGCCTTTAAACAGGGTGTTGAAACCGTAAAGAAATGACTCCAGACTTTGTGGAGGGTGCCGATGTTTGTTTAGAAAGAGAAGGGAAATAAAAAGATTGAGAGGGGAGAGAAAGAAGAGGGATTACGCAACTGTTAAGTGTTTTCAGAATAGACAAAAAGTCATGAGCGCAGGAGCAGTTTGTGATTCAAGATTTGGCTGCTGGCGCCCCCCTCTGTTGCATCTGTCACACTGCAGGGAAAAACATCCTGATACTTCGTTCTATACCAAACAGAAGATTTTTACAGCACCTTTCTTACAAGTTCAATTCTAAAATGATGTGTCATTTATGCGTTTATACAAATAACATGAACCTGAAAAGAAAACTGTTAATAAATGCAATCATGCGTGGTTCACGGTGGACTGCATGTTGGTGTATTTTGGGAACAATTAATTCTACTCAGTAAATATTGTTGTCTGTTGTTTTCTTTCAAATGTAATTTGGGTTTTAATCATTCATAACTCATGTATGAGTTTAGCATTACATTCCCATACTTTCTTTATGGTTCTCTAAACTACAACTCTGTCTCTGAGGGGATCACGGTTTTGCACAGATTATCCGAGAAAGCTGCTTTTGTTGATCCCTGAAAATCCCAGGTGTCTTGCACTTGAAGGAAATACTTCATAAACATACATACATACAGTAAATGTCACACTTGATATATTTTTAAAAGTTGAAAATTCAAGATTTCTTTAAACCCCCGCCACAAAAAACAAAAACAAAAAAAACACACACGAGTATGAAAATGTTGAAACAGTCATCATGTCACTCACAGATTAAATGTTGAATTTGAAAGCTTGAAGACATTCATAATTTGCTGCTTAAACTTGTATTGGCTAATGTAGTCCTCATACAGCTATCTTACTGCAACTATATAAAAGAAGAGGGTACTTTTTCATGTCCCCTTTTAACTGCTCATACATCATTTAACCTTAGAATGATGAACAGTAAATGTTGTCTATCCAAATGGGATGTATGAGTCCATTTAAGAGTTCAACACACGGGTCAGATAAAACCCCCAAAAAGCCTGGCAAAAAAAGCTGACTGTTCAAAACTGTCAATGGTAGTTATTGATGATTATCTTCCCACATGACTCGGTTCAGAGATTGGTGTTTGTCTTGTTTATGTATCTACATGTGTCACTCTGTTGCTTGAACAAGGTTTACCTGTTGGACATGTTGTGTGATGCGGTGCCGAGAGATCTCCTTCCCAGGACTGAGAGAGCGTAACACAAAGTCACCAAGCTAGAGTCCTCATCGCTGTCAACAGGCTGTGCAAAAGAAGAGACAGAGAGAGAGGGCAAGCATGTAGAGTCTGTCATATGGGACATATATAAAAATATTATATTCATGAGGTATGTATGCTGCTAAAAATTCATAGAATTGAGTGAAAATTTGCAATTAAATCAGAGTCGAATGTTTCATTGTCCCACTACTTCTGCTTTTCTTTTATTCACTCACTGAAGTTAAACGGTTCTGTCCTCTAGAGTGTGATTATTTGCTTCTTTTCTTACCATGACACAGCATTCACCTAAGTATTTCAGCTTTTGGACAGTTGTAAAGACAAAACAAGAGTCTGGCTACGTAATCTTGCACTCTGAGACTCCCTCAGCTGCTCTAACCCATAATGAAGTTTGATAGAAAAATCTTTAAGTGAGGTACCGTCTCCATCTTCCCTGCACAGTACTGGATCCACTCCAGGTAGACGTTGCAGAAGCTGGCGCGGGTCACTCCCTGCAGGCAGTGCACGTAGTCTTCATCGATCTTCACACTGAAGACCTGAGGGTCACGTTCGATGTGGTGCCACTTTGTGTACGACTGCAGCGCCTCCTCAATGGAGGCATCTTTGAGCCAGGTGGATAGTTTTGGAGAGTGGACCAGGAAGTAGATTATACTCTGAAAGGTGACAGGGAAGAGGTCAGGGGTCAAAAGAACTCAAAGAAAAGAGAACTTGTGTTAAAGCTGCTGACCAGATCTGAAACAACAATTTGGAAGCTGCTGTTTGTAATTATAATGAATGTAAAATATCCTGCTTCATCTGCAAACTGCACACTGCACACTGCTTAAGCTATTGGCAGGAAAATCTTTCAGTCTGATGAGATATTTTCAGTCCACGACGTAGGAGCTCAGTGAATATGTCTATAGTTGATGCATTATTAAATCTGCAGTAGTTACCTTTCCAATCCAGGGACTCTTATAAAATAACTGCTGACTCATGAAAACAGATGACTGTAGTGTGTCATGTTAATCTGACATGCTGAAACTGTGAAAATGTGTCGTGGCAACATTTTTCCATCTCCATATAGCTCAAATTCTTCTTAACCTTCAGCTCACTAATGTTGTTAGTGTTGAATTATATTAACAGTTGTATGGAAATGATTCTGCCAGAAACAAATGCATGTGTTTTACAGTTTTGAAACCAACTGGTTAGATGACCGACCCCCAACCCATCCTGAACAATCTCCAGAATCCAAATACCCAACTTTTATACCATACAGGGACGTGGACTTGTTGTTTAAACCCACATATGTAGACTCTGGAGGCCTGAAATGTACTTATGGTACATATTGAAATGAAAATACAAAATATGTAGAGAAATTTCAATTTGGACACATCAATTTGGTGTAAGTCACACAATCTGTGTCAGTGCTAACACCAGTAAACACTGGACACACTGGTTAATCAGGAGATATTATGACTAGAATGTTCATTTTCCGACCATTAAAAATAAGATGCTTCAACACTTTAGCTTCCCTTTCAGAAATCTAAGAAACAACTTCCCTGAGTTGATTTCCAACACAAACTGAAACTTGTAAAACTGCACATATACACAGAGATAAGATTTACCTTCAGGTAGTAGGTGATGAGGAGCTTTCTGAGGTCGTACACTTGCAGCATGGTGGCAGCGTTGTTCTCACTGATGCTGTATCCCTCCAGCAGATACTTGGTGGCCATCACCTCCCAGGCCAGCCAGCGCAGGTTGAAGGCTGCATTGCACGACAGCATGTGGGGTAAGTGACCCGGCTCGCAGCAGCAGCATGCATCGTCCTCCTCCACGCCCTCCGTGATGGCCTCCACCTCTCGCTGCTGGCAGTAAGTACCTGGGATGGAGTTGATCAGCCAGAGAGCTAGTTAGTTTATCGCTCATTAGAGGAAAAACATGTGAAGTTGAAGAAAGGTGTGGAATCTTACCTCTGAACTCCAGGCCTCTCAGCTGGAAAGTGACTAAACCGTTGCCGATCTCGATGAGGTGGACCAGGGCGTTGAGGTAGTCAGAAGCCAGAATGAAACAGTCTCCGGCGCTGTAGTTGCCCCATCGTCCCAGCATGAGGTCGCCACACAGAGAATGCTGCAGCGAGCGGGTCAGGTACTCGTAAAAGATGGAGTTCAGGTTGCTGTCATCACACCCTGAAAATGAACGATGTTACGTAGGGACAGAGAAGAAGTTCACGCATGACTGCTTCTTTCTCCCCCACTGATTCTAAACTACAAGAAGTCTGTTTGAATACTTTAAAGAGAAAAGTAAAATAAAGTGTCCTCTACCGGACAAAAGTTTAGTGTGAAAACACTCACCTGTCTCCTTATCCACTTGGGACACCAGTCTGCTGTTAGAGTTGTCTATACGCTTTGTGCTGCAATGAATCAGTGACAAAAAAAGAAAAACGGTCAAAACTAAATTTTAAAGGCACAGTATGTAACTTCTGCCACTAGGGGTCTCAAATATGTTATGATAACCTTAGTATTTACAGTCTATGGAAATAACCTGGAAATATCTCACCAATGTTTGATGAAAATCTACATGAAATTACATATATATCTTTATTCTATTTTATTCTAAGGATTTTAACCTCCTGTGTTTCCTCATTAAGAAGTCATAATAGCATTTCCTCAGTCTGTCAGTACCTGTTTTTATCTAGTTCTTTCTTACCCTCTTTATAAATTGTGGGGTAGGGTTGGGGGGTTTGGGGTCATGCTGTTGCTGCTTGATTTCTTTTTATGTAAAGCACTTTGAGAGACATCACTGTGTATGACAAGTGCTATACAAATAAAGATTGATTGATTGTTTGATGAAATGACTCAAGAAAAATCCATGCTGATTGAGGTACTGTTTTGGAGTTTTATTCTCACTTCATTGAGTCGTACTTTTTTCATTTCATGTTCCTTTTGTCGAAGTGAAAAAGCCATGAGTAATGTTATCTAATGCAGGCTGACCTTGAACAAGGATGAGTTTGTCTGAGGTTTTGAACATTTTTGGAAAACTTTAGAATGCCAATTTAAAAAAAAAAAACTAAACAAAAATACACTAACAGGTCTAGCTTTCGTTTCGTTTTTTAAATGCAGAAATCTTTTTAAGTATGCCTTTAAGTGAAAAGCATAAGTAATGCAATATTGTCAATGTGTTTCCCAGTGTTTGTAACAATGTAAGATGAACAGCTAACACATTCACAATGCATCAAATCAAAGTTCCTTTTGTTAAACTGGCAGCACCAAAACATGCAGAACATTACAGATAAAGACAACTACCTTCTTTAAATCCTTAGTGGACTTAATTACTGTTAACATGAATACAAGGTGAATTCCTCCAAGCACCACTCACACAGTTAAAAACATTTTAAGACGAGACTGTTCTGTGGTCTCAGTTGTTGTTGTTGTTGTTGTTGTATATTTTCACATTGTCATGTTGTATTGATGTTAAGAGTGTCAGCCAGCACATCTACAGCCTAAAATGCCCAAGATCCAACTCCTGCAGAGTGATTTGAATGTTTGATTTCCAAAGCAGACCCCAGCGTCTAAATATAATCACAGGCTGCTTCATGTCAAATCACTGAAGTTTGCAGCTATTTTTGGAGCGCTTTGAGTGGGCTCAAGCACAAACAGTCCCTCACATCAATAAGTAAGAGGGAACAGGGGGGTTATGTTGTGTAAGGGTGAACGAGAGGAGGAGGTAGGGGGAGGGGGTGTCTGTCTTCTAAACTGCCAAACTCAGTTGATAAGGTTTGATTTGCACTTCACTAAATATAAAATATATATATTACAGTACATTGTTGATGTTATTGATAAAACTTTAAAAAAAAAAAAGTTTTACAAAAGACTCATTCGTTTCTTAAGTTGCTGGGTAATGTCGTTTTTTTTAAGATTCATTTATCTAAATAGGGAGATGTAGTGGATTTGTTTGGGACTATTTCCAGCATTGGATTAATTCACACTTACTTCTCTAGCAGGTATTTACAGCAGTATGTTCTTGTGCATGTTGCATGTGCAATTGACTCAGGGCCTGATTCACTATGAATAGATTACGACCACTAATAACATCAAAAATGCAAATAATTTGCTCCTGATATCTGCTCCGTCTCAAGGTCTAAGATGATGAAGTAGAGATGTCCTGTTCCATGTCAGTTTGCTCTTGTTTGGAGTCTGAATGTAAAGAGAAGCTCCTGTGTGTTTCAAATGTTTTGTGAGGCCAGCCTTGAAAAATTGGGATATGAGTTTCACCTTTTCAACAAAAAAAAGAAGCTTCCTCCCTTAATGGAGCAAGAAAGGACACTTAGACAGAAACAACTCACATCTTCGTCATGCGTAGACCTCTCCACACATGTGGACAAAGTGACGAGCCGCTGACAGCCCCAGACCGGTTTCACCCCTGGTTATTTAAGTAATAGTAAATTCAAAGTCATATTTACAGACTTTACCTGCAGATTATTGAATTTAAAGTCAAATAAGAGACCAAATTGTTTTCCTTTTATCACTGGAAAATTTGAGAATCACCTCTCATAAATACTGTGGCGCTGTCACCACCAACTCTGAGCAGCCTGTAATATTTTCCCTCTCACTGCGCATGGCTATTAGCGCCATGGTGTTTTTGAAACTCTTTTTGCAAGTGCTTACTTGCATATGTAGGAGACAATTTGTCCCAAAATAACTGTTTAAATAAATGCAAACAGCACCAGCACACAGAAATGCTGCTCACTCTGCAGTGCAGTTAGGGGGGGAATTTAACACTCTGCGTGTGTTTTGTGTTAGAAGAAGGTGCCATTTTTACTCATTTGAGCAGTTTTAGGGGTCCCAAAAGCCAGTAAAGAGTAAACATGTGCACAAAATTGACATGAATTAAACATGAACTGTGCTAAAAACTTATAGTAATAAAATAATGTAATCCAGTAATACTGTCTTGCTTGTTGATCTATTTTGTTAAGATTTGGACAACAGGTTTGGTTGATGATTTCACTTGTGTATTGACGAGCAGCCTTCTTTTAAATTTTAGATTTTGAAATTAAAATGTCAGTGAATACTTCTCACACATGTTAAGGCTGTTCGGGAAGTTAACTCTACTCTCACAGAGTCGTTTTTTTTTTGTCTGGGTCTTACTTGTAATTTCGCTCCCAGAACCTTATTGGCCGAGGATAGGAGGATATGAAGATGGCGCTGCCCAGGAAGGGAGCCAGCGGTGTGTAGAAGACAGTGGTGAGCAAAGTCTGGAGCAGCAACATGGCAGAGTCTGAATAAACACACACACACCGGTCAAGGAAAGACAAGCAGTTACTAATGTGATATCATGAAGACACAGAGAAACACACACACACACACACACACACACACACACACACACACACACACACACATAAGGTCTGAGGAAAAGGATACGTGGCACAGCAAACGGCTGAGCGAAGGCATGGAAAGCGCTGCCCCAGGCAATCTGCCACGGAGCGATGTAAACGAGGATGAAATGAAGCTTCAGCAACAGCTCTCGCATCTGGACAGAAAGAGAAGAACACAGTAAGTCCTCTGTGAACACACTCAACAGAGGAGTCGTTATATTTGGCATCATAGTGTGTTATTCATATTTAGCACGACCTTTGACTCAAAGGAAAATAAAGTGACGTTTTTTCAAATCAATATTAAGGTCATATATGGCCTCTATGGCCAAATACCAGCATATTAAATGTATTCATTTTAATATATGTGTACGTGGCACTTTAAAACAAAACACAAAAAAAGAGATTCAGTTGAAATTGTGACTTTTTTTCTTCGGGAACTAATCAGCCCTGATTTTTTTTTAAATGATTTTTAAGAACTGTGGAAATCAGGATGAGAGAGAAGTAAATAACATGCAGGAAAGGAACCACAGGCAGGACTTGAACCCGGACCGCCCGCTTGGAGGCTCAAAGCTACTGTACATGGGGTGCTACCTAACCACTCGGCCAATCAGCACCCCAGCCCTGATTTTCAATTGAAAAACAAATTATGTACTTCTGTTCGGTGACAGAAAGGTGGTTGGAGCTTCTTAGCTGAGAAGTTTGGTTAGATGTTATTAGTTATCTCTGTCTCTCTTATCTGTTTATATGCTCACCCTGAAACCCACCCCACCAAAAAAAAGTTTTAAAAAATCCTCCCCCCAGAAAAATCAGTCAATTATCAAAGGTCACAAACCTCCTGACATTTTTACCCTAATATGGGCAAAACCCAGAAATGCTGAATCTTCCTATAATGCAACAAAATCATGTGTTATTGTCACACCTCTTGTTTGTAAAGCAGCCTTTCTATTAAAGAAAAAACAAAAGCCTTTAGCCAAATGCTGGGATGACTCGGTTCTTAGATACACAATGACATCATTATGGTTATTTTTCTCAGACTGGACGATGCTCCTTCAGAGCCACAGAAGACTTAAGAAAGCTATTCTCAGAGGCTGAGTATAAAAGTATTCAAATAGTCAGTCAGTCTTTTATTTGCTGAACTTGGTGTAATTTCTTGTCTTTCTCTGAGAACTTAACACGTTTGCGTTTACCTGTTTGGCTCTGTTTCTAAATGTGTCTTGGACTAAATCTTTACACCAATATTGTCCAATGCGCAGCACGTCAGCCAACTCTGTTTCCAGGTAGGAACAACCAGTGTTCTCTCACCTTGTGGAAAGCTATAGACATGATGAAGAAGTCCAGCAGGAAGCTCTCAGAGGCGTGCGGACAGTCAAAGTGGAAAAAGACCAGCGTGAAGAGCAGGGTGAGGAACTGGAAGCTCGGATCACAGAAGGACGAACGCAAGAGTTTCAATCCAGCGACTGTCGTCAGGAGTACATCGCAGCTGGAGGCAGAACAGACAAGAGTTTAGTCAACACACACACACACACACACACACACACACACACACAAACACAAACACACACACACTGATCTGATCAGCGAAGTGTTATAGACATCTTTACATTTTCACAAATTCGTTGCATACTGTGTGTTGGATGCTGCATGTGTCCACTCACTGAATTCCCAGCTTCTTGCGGTGACTTAGGGCAAATCCGTCGTTAGTTAGTGCGCTCAGAATGATGGCTGGGTACACCACATACTTCTCAAAGCACAGGAGCCCGACGTAAAGCCGCTCAAACCACATCAGCACAGCGTCCTCTGTGACACACACAAGAGCAGGGAAATGATTCAAGAAGATCAGAATCACGGCTTGCACACAAGGATGTGTGGGAGACACATTTCAAGGTGAATTTTTTTGTTAGTTGTTCCATTATTAAACGTAACTGAAGCATCTAACACGTAGCACGTAACTGCAAGTTACTGTGTAATTTTACATTTACATTATTGTATTTTTTTTTTTTTTTTATCTAAATAATGTAAATATGTTTGATCTGTTTTTAACTTCTATTTTTATTTTTTAGAAGTATATTCCCGTCCCCTGTTTTCTGGAGCTGCTGTAATGCACAAATTTCCCCCACGGGGGATCAATAAAGTTTATCTTTATCTTCATATTTATCTTATCATAATCGTGATGATTATGCAGCTGTTTATCATTTCAAAGTCTCATTACATTCACGTCTGACAAAGTAGCTTTATTTTTTTGCATTTTAAGGTTGTTGTTTTTTTGTCTCTAAATCAACCAAATATCTCAAACTACGAAAACGTTTTCTGCTTAATCAAAAGGCATTTCCCCAGTTCATCAGTCAACATGCAAACATGAGCACCGAAGGAGATCTTGCATGCTGTGCCCCTAAATTCCCAAACAGTGTTAACATGTCAATAAAATCGTGGCTCTTCAAATCAGCATTACTCACTCTGTGGATTGTTATGTATGCAGATCAATCAAGCATTGACTTTGAGTGTATTTATATTCAGATCTGGATCCAAAACTATTTACTATCCTCATTATACAGAAAGCTGCATGGTCTTGTTTTTTTTTTTTTAATTTATGCTTCCTGATCATTTTCCTGTCGGCTTACATAATTAACTATGAACAAACAACTCCATGTACAGACTAGTGGGCATGCTGACCTCTGGGTTCAAACTGGTGATACTCTTTTGTCTTGAGTACTGGATGGGAGATCCACAACCAAGGGTGGTGCTTCCTCAGCTGGGGGATCAGGTAGTGGGTGACAAACCCCACTGTCCCCGCCAGAGCGTACAGCACAATGGTCACAAAAGGCTAGAAATAGAAGGTATATATTATTTAAAGCTCATGTGAGTATTTTTAGCTGGTTATGAAGCAGACAGTAATATTATATATAATAATGAATCTACAAACGCAAAGGAGAGTGTCTATTTCTATAAGGCTGTTATCTCTTGCATCGGGTCGGATGAGGCAATTAACAGAATGTAAACTGGGAAGTTTTCACGGGAAAAGAAGGACATTGATCTGAACGTTTGACAGTAAAAAACAGCAGGAGGATACTTTTCGTTAAAGAATATTACTTTACGCAAGACATCAGTGGCAAAGAGACAGGGTGTGCTGGTGTTTCTTATCAGGGGACACCAAAAACAGCACAAGTGAAAGTTGATCATACTAGCTACAAAGAAAGAAAGATGGTGAAAATAAACAGCTAGGCAACACACCTTAGGGAGTGTAAAAAAGAGGAAACAGTCTCACCTTGAGAGACAGAAACACGGTACTCGCAGTGATGGCAAAGGTCAGGATGTAGGCGACAGAGCACACAACCACATCCGACAGCAGAATCTCCTTCTGCGGGGTGGGGGGAAGAGAGAGAGGAGATCTTTAAAAATCTACAAAAACTCATCTGTCTCACTCATTTAGGTGTGATTATTTCTTTGTAATCGTTCTGAGTCTTCAGCTTTTAGAGATCAAAGACAAAGCAGCTCGCAAAGAGCTTCATAATCCTCTATTAATAGAGCGAAAGGCAGCGAGAGGCTTGTTTTTGCAGGATGCATAACTCCCTGTAATCCCAGACAACGTTTTATTATCTCTTCTTAAAGTCTTACTGAGTCTTACACTCGGTTTGGATTAATTCTGGTTCCTCAGGTGCAATATTAAGCAATAAAAACCAATTAATGTGCAGGCCAACTCAACACTTGAAATGTTTAATTATGCTTTCAGTGAGCAGATTTTTCTAACAGCTAACAAGAACATTATTGATGACTCAATCAGTTTAAGTTTCTGTGTTGGTCTTTAGTCACCATCGAGCTCTGCAGTTTGTCAGGAAGTGGGTCTTTGATGTCTGTGTCTTCCTCCTCCTCTTCCTCGCTCTCCACCAAAGCGGGCATTATTTTGGACTTGATCAGAGACCTGCAAGTAACAAAACTGTTGCATGAGAGGCTCTTACATGATGAATAAGACAAAGACACACCATAAACTTATTTTGCTCCGACACAGGAAATTGTCTTGTTTCATTAAAATGTTCCATTTTGTATTTTAAGTTTGTAACTGTGCTGCCTGTCTGAGCTGAATCTCTCTTGAAGAACACACAGAGATGCACAAACACTCACATGAGCACAGAGGGGTCACTGCTCTGTCGGCTGAGGTGGTAGGAGAAGACCACCAAAAGGCCGCAGAATCCAGAGAACAAAGCCGGCGTGTGCTGCTCATCCCACGGCTCCTGGAACAACACACAGAGGCACACAAACCTGTGTGACTCACACCATCATGTGCCCATAAAGCAAAGGTCTGCTGCTTTCAGAGCTTCACGGTTCAAAAGCTTCCTTTTCCAGCTGCAATACTGAAGTTACTTTTAAAGATGACTCACAACTCTTTGTGTTGTGCTGCAACTGTACTTACAGCATTGACTGTGTGCTATTTATAACTGATCTCCCTGTCGTCTTCTATTCCTGTAGCCAAGAGGATTACTATGAACCCAAATTCAGGAGGACGGGAGAGGAGAGGGAATATTTTGTTTATATTCAGTTTGTACCTTGAGAGCTCCGAAGCAGAAACCGTAGAGCAGAGACAGAGCGATCAGACTGCGGAGGATGCTGTAGACTGCAGAGACCAGACTCGTAGCAGCTGGAAGACACAAATAACAGGAAAGGGACAAGACATGCATTAACAACAGAGAGAAACCCAGAAGTTAAGATCTCATTTGACTTTTTTTTTTTTACATCCAAAGGAGATTTTACTTTAACTTGAAAGCCATCAGAAATGATTTCTCACCAAATGAGTTCTAGTTTTATAATCAAACCTGTCATTTTCTGCCACAGGAAGGTCCGTTATGGACATGTCAGGTTTTTAGATTCACTCTGTCTTTGGTGAAAGTGCTGTCAGTGTGTAAACTCCATCTTCTTGCTCGCAGAGTTGCAGAGTCACCTTAAACTAATGTGTGTGAATGGGATTAGTTATTACTGATGGACACTTTACAAAGCAAACACTACCATCAGTGTGGTAATGGGTGTGTGACCTCTATGAGTAGTCAGAAGACTAAAAAGGTGCAATAAAAGCTCAAGTCCATTTACTATTTACTATTTAACATACTGAAACCAGAACACTTTCTCATTTGTGAAATCAGACCCGAGAACAGATTCTCCATTTATGTCAAATCTGTAAATATAGATAACATATCTACAGATGCATCTTGAAATGACTAATACGATGGTGGGTTAGGGGTAATGAAAACAGAAAGAGCAATCAACACTTGTTTTCAATTATAGAAAACTAGAGATTAGAAACTCTTGCACCAACCTGTTCCTCCAAACAGATGCATGTCGATCTGCTCCAGCAGGTAGATGGTGAAGGTGTTGATCTGAGGGAAAAGGCCCACCAGGAAGGTGATTGGGAAGCAGTAGGTAAAACCTGTTTTACATATCAGACAAAAACAGGCCATTTTTAGGAATTATCGTTTTGGATATGAGTTCAAACAAATGATTAACAACAAGAAATAAAGCAGTTGCCATGTCACAGCAGATGCTTGTCTGAAACAAGGCTCCAGTGGGAAGCTGCTTGTTCGTCTCCTCTCTCCCTACCTACCCATGAGCATGTCTCTTAAGAAGTGCAGCGCGTCGTGGCAGACTATGGTGACTCCGTACAGGGTGGAGACAGGAAGGTCCTTCATCCTCAGCAGCTGCTCCAGCAGCCAGATCAGAGTGCAGAAGATGCAGAAGTAGGCAGCCCGGCTGTAAGCCACCAACTGGTTGTGACCCTAGAGACACACACACACACACACACACACACACACAGACACACACACACACACACACACACACACACACACACACACACACACACACACACACACACACACACACACACACACACACACACACACACACACACACACACACACACACACACACACACACACACACAGATTAGGATTTTAGAAGAGTAAAAACAGCAGAGTCTTGTCTATTTCCAATGCCCAGGGACAACAGATGGAAATTAGCTAAACCTGGTACAAAGCATCTCTTCTCTTCTTATTTGGTACTCTGAGCCTGATTCAAATAAACTAATAAACTAAACGAAATGATCTATAATAATCATGGACATCATAAAGTTGTCAATAAGTAAGTCAAATAATAACTTTTTTAAATCCCTGTAGGATTTTTTAAAAGCTAGCTTGTTAGCTTTTTTTGAGTCATTTGTGAGGATGTTCAAAATGAACTGATTTCAAATGAATAACATCTTTGAGCCAAAGACTGACAACATGCAACACTAAAAAGAAACAACGATCACATGGTGAAACCAACCGATAGGGGCATCATGGATGTATGCATAGAAGTTTATTAAAAATAATAAATAAATAGAACTAATATGAAGTTTATTTTATATGTATTTTGATATGTCATCTGAGATGTTGTAAAAACGTCAGCTGTTAACTTACATGTGTCGGTGAAGCTGCATCTGGTTGAACACTCTGGACAAAAGAAGCAAATATTGAATCACTTTTTTTAAAATGACGATGACAAACATCTTCGAACATCATGATTGCTTTTGAGTTTAACAGAAAGGAAGTGAGCAGGAGCAAACAGAAACGTACAGGTCTGAGGTCCGATTCACATTTCATTTATAATAGGCAACCACTGTTTGAGCCCACACATCATTCCTCCCCAAATGCATGTTGATTAAAGCACAATGTGCTTTTTCTTAGACTGTCACAACTTGCATTTCTCCATCACAGTGCTGTCTAACGTTTATGATTTTGGTACATTGCTCATGCCCATAGTTAGACGGGCTGAGCCTTGATACATTAAAACCTTGGTCAGGAGTTTTTCTTGTTTTTTTTGTTACCTTTAGTAAGGAATACTGGCAGCTGGCGATGACCAGGCAGAACTGGAAGACCCAGAAGTCTTTGAAGCAGCCGTGGTTTAGAAGCACAAAACCCAGGAAAGAAACCAGGAAGGCCATGAAGACGGCGACCAGATTCTCCAAAACATCCTGGTTTCTATATGAAAACAGCAAACACACTATTAAGGCAGAGTTGGACTGCACCTGACATGCTATAAGTACATCAAATGGGAACTAAAAAATAACTCAATTAACCCACAGTGATTCAATATCAATAGGAGAGATGCTGCTGCTGCAAGATAAAGGCTTCAAATTTAAAGAGACAGGACAACAAACATCCAGTGTATGGACTTTTCAGATTCTTAAAAGCATCTTGACAGAAGTTGGTAGGAGAATTCAGACAATGGTGGAAAATACTAACAAGATAGATATGACTAGTGTGAAACTTAAAACTGTGGTTTATTGATTATTTTTCCCAGGAAAATATCTCTACATAGATCTCAGAGCTGAATGATATGTGTGATGTTTGATTTCTGAACTTGCATGAATGTATGGGATCAACAGTGTAAAGCATTTGCAGGATTTTTTCAAATGTATTACCTGTCCAAAAGGGCAAGCAGGGTGAGTCGGTCATATAAAATGTTGATCCACTTCCCAGGAAACAGTTTTAGTTTGTAATAAATCTTCCTGGCCGGTTTCTCCTGAGTGGAAGTCTCTGACGAATCATCCAAAGAGTCCTCTTCCTGACAGACAAAAACAAAATAATTTACACCCACGTGACTTCAACTGCAATTATTCAGGAAACAAGTGGAGTCTACCCTTTTCCCATGTTAAATATTCAAAGTGGATCATTACGAGTACACAAAACAACAACGCTTCTACGAGAACAAACTGGTGCAGTAATGATTCAGCAGAGACTCTGTGTTGTTTCTACTTCAAGACTGATCTGGGCTGCTACAGTAATACCACCACTGGTCTGCATCCAGCTCTCATGCAGGCTTTGCAGGAGTGAACATTTCAAACTGCAGCAATGACATCCACAGTTTAGCAACAACACATCCACAGTAGAGTATCCTTGAGACCTAAGAGACAGGATGAAAGCTTTTCTCTCCCCATGAAACAATAGCGAAGGAAAAAAAACGATTGTTGGAAGAATTTGAAACCTACATTGTTTACATCCACGTCTGCTGGCTAGCAGTTTTGTGTTCACAGCCTCTGTTGGCACATTGCTACATTTCTTGGCACAATACCATCGCCAACAAGAAACCACTAAAGTGGGTATCATCTCAAACATGCACTCTGAAAAGCCTCCTGCAGGAAACATAACCTTATGTAGAACTCCTGACAGCATACTCAGTCCAAATGCAATCCTTCATAAACAAACAATTTTTTTTCCCCTGCCTTTAGCTTTAGAAAATCACTTTTAGAAATTCAAAAAGTTAGTAAAGGGACGCTCTTAATAAGTGGAACTAGGAAAAATGAAGGCAGATGCAGACCTGAAAGATCTCAGGATGTGTCCTTCGAGGCCGCAGCCTGTGGGCAGGGATGATGCGTCGTTGGAAAGGGCAGTCAGCGTGACCACCTGCAAGGCCATCCTGACACTCTGAGTTTGAAGAAGTTGACAGCAGGTCACTGAAGAAACACACACACACACACACGCTATTTTATTTTTCTTGGTTTATCCTGATTAAAAAGGAAATTATGAGAGTTAAAGAGAAGATGAAACAAAAGGGAAATAAAGTAAGATGAAAACAATCAATGAAGCAGAAAAGAAGAGCATGCAGGTAGACAGTGTGTAGGAAGGAGGCGGTGGAATGAAGATTTGACGGCCCTACCACATGTTGCCAGTGATGAGCTCAGCTCCCAGCGGCAGGTTTAGAGCTCTCTCTGCATACAGCTTACGAGGCCTGTCTCCTGTAGAAGAAAAGAAAAACACACCAGCTGATGAGCAGATAAATGTATAATGCAGGAGATATTTCTTTATTTCGTGTTACAGACGTTCGGGACTATAATAACTGGACATTTGACCAGCTGAGGATGTTGAAGTCAATCCAAAAACAATGCATTTCATCTACCAGTTTATAGAGCAGTTTGAGCCAATAACAGAACCTTTGACTAAACTGTACATTTGTTCCAGATATCTCAATATTATCAAACTGTTGCGGCAGAAATAAAGACTAAAACATACCAGGTCTCTCGCATCTTTTTGTTGCCTTTTACTACAAGTCACCTATCCCAAAGACTGTACAAAACATGGACATGGTTTCAGTGACGTCACCCATTGTTTTCTGAAGAGGCATTATGAAGCCCATCAATGGGGTCCACATATTTGAAATGCTGTATACACCTAAATTTCAATCAATTCAGAAACTTGCAAAGAGGTGGAGCTAGGGCGGCAAACGCCTACAACGCTCCCGGCAGTCAGTCAACTCCACCACATCCCTAATTATGAAAATGCATCCACATAGCTTAATAAAAACAAAACAATAAACCTTGTAAAGATTTATGAATAAAGAAATGAGCTGTAGAAATAAAAAAAACATCAACATTTTTTTAAACCATAATGTAAAATTGTTTATTTCTGTTGTAATAATTAGGATTTGAATATGAGATCTGATGAGATTCTTTAGCTTTTGGAGCCGGTCTCAAATGGATACCCAAGGAATTCCTTTTATTTTTACACTTTTGCATTGCCTTTATTTTTCATTACCAGATGTCTTTTAACATTTGAAACCAATAATCATGTTGTATAGAAGCTGCTTACTGTGTACAGTATGGAAGGTGTAGGCCTCTTCTTTGTTTGTGGCCTCTGGTCTGCAGATGACCTGCAGCATGGAGCTCTCGGACTGGGAGGTTTGCGAGGGCAGAGAATCATAGTCTGGATCCTTCTCTCTGTCTGTCTGTGGACTGCAGACAGGAAACACAATCAACTGGAAATCCTGGATGTAAGTCCTGTAGAGGTGTGTGTTTGTGTGTGTGTAAGAGTGCTTTTCATTGAAGCATGTTGGAAAATAGACAATCGTACCTGTCGGGGGAAACTATTGGGATTTGTGTGGGTGGTTTGGCCTGCAGTTTGTCGGTAGGGAGGCTGGTAGGTGGTTTTGGTCTCTCTGGTTTGCTGTCTGTATTTGGCTCTGTTATCGTCTGGTCTGGTCTGGAAGTCGTACTCAGGTTCTCTGCTTTGAAATGTTGGGTAAAATAACAGAATTAGTTTATATCTTTAAAGCTGCTTTCATTAATATTTTTAAGTAAACAATGGAAGGAGTGAAACACACAGAAAATGATCACCAGCTGTATGAAAATGTTGTTTTTCAGTATCTTTTTGTTATAGTTGTTATTTTTAGGCATACAGCAGAAGCTTTTGCACACTAACTGCACAGAACAATATGACAGACAAAGTTAGCGAATACCGAGTGAACTGATGAGTTTATAATGGAGCAAATGGCAAGCTAAATGGTCAAATATTTTGCTCGTAAGTTGGTGGAGACCAAAAACATAGCTAAAAAACCGGAGAGAAAATTGCACATAATCTGAAACGGCATCAAGGGTCACAACTCTAACAGAATGATTCTGTTGCTCAAGTCCAACCAAAGTCTAATTTAACCATTTGCCAACATGTCTGGCATATTAGCTTAGTTATGCTGCCCCAAAGTGGTTAAGAAAAATCATTTAATCCAAGTTTAACCACATAAATCACCTTATTAGTACATTTTCATCATTATCAGCCGCTACAGGCTGTGCAGCTTCATTAATACCATTTGGCTGAAGTGGTTTCAATAAACTAACAAGCTGAGTTACCTCTGACCCAACATGCTTTCAGGCTGGCAGGCTAGAAAACCCCTAGTAGTATTTTGAATAACACTTCTATATTAGTATTGTATTAACATTAAGCTTTAAACAAATATTGCCAATCAAGCAACACACCAAAAGCAGCAATGCTAATGTATTGTAGCTCAGAAACATGCATTGATATTGCACCTTATGAATGCACATTGTTTAAAAGTCTTCATAAACTCTGAACCTTTTAAATAAGGGAGATGGACAAACTCTCTTTCTGAGATTCACCTTCCTCTGCAGTGCCCTCTTCCTCTTTGCATTCTGTCTCGTCATGTTCCTGCGTGCTGGCGGCCCCCCCTCTGGCACTGAGAGACCCCAACAAGGACACAAACTCCAAGAAGTTGGACTCGTTGGGTATCTGGCCCTCCTTCGCTTCCAGATCTGACTTGGAACTAGTCATGGTGGCCTGTAAAGGACACAGATGTTCGTATGTATGCATAGACAGATTGTGACACATTTAGGACACACTTTCCAAATCAAAACAGAGCAATACTGCCAGCATACTGTGTTCTGTGATCGGTCTGAAAGGAGCACGGCATCTTTGCCACTGTCCATGCTCAGCCCGCGGATGTGAGTCCTTCCCCCTGGACCGTAACGGCCGAAGGCAGGCGGCAGACGCAGAAAACCTTGTGAATCCACGTTAGGATCCAGAGGGTCTGTGTCATCGGGGTGGGAGTTGACATCGATACCCGATGAGCTGTTATCATTTGTTAGCTGTGGGCTTGGCGTGCTGTCATTGGTCAACTGTAGACCAAGATGTTCCTGGTCGTGATCCTGACCCTCCATTGTTGTGAACTCAGAACTGGTTGTTTCTCGACACATGTGAAACTCTTCACTTTGGCTTGTTGTCTGTTGTTTTTTCAGGGTGGGGTCTTCCTCAGAGCCAGTCGCTACTTCTTCTTCTTCTTCTTCCTCGTCCAGCTCCTGCTTGTCGTCCTCGGGGGAGTCAAAGGTGATGACAGGGATCTTGATGTGACACTCTCCTGCATCCTTCTGAGCCTTGTTGAACACACACAGATGTGTCACAAACAAAGTGGACTTTCCAAATCAAACAGCACAATAGGAGCAGTCAGAGAGACATTAAAAAGAAGGACAGATTTGCTGATTTATTCTGCATGGCTACATTCTCAGTGAAGGCTGGACACAACAGCAAGATACTGCATCTGGGATAACATGTACACTTGCAATTTGGAAGACTAATCAAGTGCAATTACAAAGAAGTCTGGACTGTCTCGTACTGGCCAGTTCTACAGTTCATCAAGTCAGTGTTAAGCGTATCTATGCCAGATGAGGGGGGATAGATTCCTAATTTATTGTGGATTAATTCCCTTCTTTACTTGTTGTAATAACACTTAAAAGATTTTAGTCTTTTAGGTTAAACAGTAGCAAATGATCTTCTAATTTGCTCCAGCTATTAAACTTATCTCAGCTGTTTAAGTTGCAAAAACACACCTTGAGTTAAGTTAAAATTTTAGTAGTAAGGAGTGGATTCAAAATACATGATGTTTTAATTACTCATATTCACAAGACATTAAATACTGACAATAACTGAATTTATTTAGAAAATATAGATGATTTACCATCCTTGTACATCCACTGACAAACACACTGACATGGCTTTCTGAAAATTAAAGGAAGGAGCCCAAAGTTTCCAAAGACACAAAACATTTCAGAGCAAACTATTGCAGAAGATGTGTTTGGAGTTGATTCAGCTGTCGGTTTAAAACTTGGACTCGCTGATAACATTATATAGCTCCAATAAAGACGTGGAACAGACTGGTATATGTGGTATTGTCAGACTTTGAAAGATAAATGAACCCCCTCGAGCTTTCTTATTGGATGTCAAGCTGGGTAAACAGTTTTGACAGAACTCGGTCCAGAATGTTTCCTACCTGTGCATTCTCCAGAAGGCTCTGCTTAACGCTCTCTTCCAGCTTCGCAGCAGTCTGAGGGTCACAGCTCATAGTGATGATGATCTTGACTGTGTCACTCTCGTCCAGGTGAGCGGACACAGGCCCTGGGCCGGAGTTATCAACCAGAACCACTTCAATCTCATCAGAACAGTAAGTCTCCTCCACTGGCTCAGCCTGAGAAACAGCATTAGACAAAGAGAATAGTTTTACCTATAATTCAAAAAGTGATAACAATACTAGTATTGTTTTAGTATGAATAGATAGCTTATTTCTTAAATACAAGTTCACTTCTGTTTCTCTATATGTAAGGCCAACCTGGGCAGGAGGATCAGGGATGTCGATGAAATCGTCTTGGCAGTCCTGGGGAGTCTCCAGTGAATTATTGTTGGCATCTGAAAACTCTTTCTGCCCCTCGCTTTCCTCCTCACTCTCATCTCCACTTCCCTTGGAAGGAGGCAGACCTTCATCAGCTGTTTCCATATCTGCAGCCTCTTTATCCTCGCAGTCTTTCTCCTCTTCTATTATGTCCTTTTCTGCTGTCCTTTCCTGCTCTGATCGCTCTTTGTCGGCCCCCGTTAAGAGTGTCTGCATGTCCGTTCCTTCTTTCACGGTTCTAGTATCAATTGTTTCCATGTCCATTTTCCCTGAACCCCCGGCAGATCCAGGTCGCGTCTCTTCTCTTTCAGCTCGGGATGGGGTCCTCTGCTGGGCCTGCAGCAGGGGGGCGGCCTGGTCGGGATTGGGACTGGAGAGGTCATCTGGAGAAGGCTCTGGGCTTGGATGCAGGCCTCGCTCTACAGGCTTCTCATCTGCAGCGCCCTCACCCTGTCCTGGAAGCAATGGACATACACAGTTTTTGATTTAAGGTGCAGTAATATTGAGCATCTGTAATCCCACAAAAACTGCCAAGATGGAAATGTTGTCTCTAATCCACTATTGTCTACTGACATATTTTGCAATAAACAGAGAAATGCATTTCCATGAATAAAACAAACTTTCAGCACTACACCACAGTGTAGACCAAGTTAAGATGGATTTCATCAGACTAATCCCCAGCGCATTAGGTCATACATTTACTGGAAGCAGTCAGCTGCTCATGTTGGCTGGTTGCTACATCTGATGCTGCTTGTCTTTGAATATCTACAACCATGATGAGTTTGCAGAAAGCAAGAAAAATCAACCTAAAGTGTCCAAGAAGCAATTGAGAGCATTGGGGATGAGGAACAACGTTGGCTTCCCTCACAGAATTATTCTGTCGGAACAAAACTCTTCATATACAATCACATTAGAAGGTCAAATAAATAGAGATTCATTGCAGATTACCTTCAGCTACCTTCTTCCAACATCAAGTATTCACTCCTTGAGAGTGTACTTATCACTTTATCATATTGTCCTACCACTTTTGAGCATTAAATAATTCACAAGGAAGTCATCAGCCTTCAGTCTGCTTCAGCTTCCATTCATTGCCACACTGAGCAACCGCTAAAAGATTGCTATGTGTATGTAAAGCAAGCTCCATTGATGCTATGCTTGAAAAAAAAAGTGTGATTCTACTCAAGGTACCAATCAGACAATCAAACCCTAACTGATTGTCAATGGCCGTTCCTCTGTATGCAGAGAAGAGAAAACCACGAATCAGACCTCAAACATCTCTACCTCTTTCCTATAACTGTCCAAGTACTGATGATTCAGAGAAAAGTTTAATATAAGGTCAATTAGGTTGATAAATTACTTGATTTTGCAAGTGTGAGTAACAGCAGCTGGTTGACAAATTAAAGGAAAGACAGCAAACACAGCTTTAGCTCCGTGTCGTAAGAGTCTCTCAGACTGCTGTGGAGGAATGAACACTGTTCCAGTAAAAGCAGTCCCTCCCTTGGTGCTTACTGTAAGTGATGGTGATTAAAAAAGCACAGCGGTTCTAAGATGCTTTAGAGAGTTTAGATCAAGACCTTTTTTTAAATCTATTCCAGACTGGGCTGTTTTGTAAAACAAAATTTTCATTGTGCAGATCAGATCAACCAGCTAACGTTACAAAGCTACCAATGCTCTAATGATGCAGCACAGCTCAGTTTAGACTAGCTGACTTATCTTAGCTGTTTTGCTGGCAAACCTAATTGCCAGCATAAAACTATCTGGGAGGATTTGTTATCTGGCTAGCTTGCAAATTACTTCTCCAGCTTACATGACTCATGTATTGTGACTAATGCTGTGGATTATAGCCAACAATAACTGATTAACTTATTCCATCATTTTTCTAAAATTGCACATTTTGTTCCTTAAATCTGACTCGTGAATTTAGACTTTTTTTTAAAAGTCTGTCTATATTCTAGATTGAGGTTATTGTTTGAGCCTATTGTTGACTGGCCCCAGGTGACTGTGTAAGCCAAAGAATATGACTCACATCATTTTCAAAGTGACCAAACATTAGTGGAAAATCACACTTTTTTTACAATTAATTTGCTTTTCCATGGTTTCATGTATCCTTCAATAGTTTCCTATCTGTATCTCGATACAACCCTAAAACAAAAAACAGCGTCACCTTCCGAAGTCTTCACGCCCTCGTCTGACTTTGAACAGTCCTGTGGAAAGGAGAATTCAGAAACCAGATTAAAATTAGACCATCATGTAGGTCAGCACAGTGTCTCTTAAGAGGGCTATCCTTTAAATGTCACTTACCACCCCAATCAGTCCTGGGTCCGTTTCTGTCTGTTTCACTGTAACCTGTATCACTGGACTGGGACCCTTCCGAGCCAACATTGTCATGGCAACACTGTCTGGGACTGTACTGCTCTTCCTTTTTAGATAAGAGATAAAAGACGACATAAAATTATAAGGATGAAACATTACATAGATTTTTTTCAGCTGAAGAAGTAAAAAATACCTGTCTATACCTTTTGTTTTATTATCTCTCAGCACAAACTAAAGGAGCGTGGATTGATGGATTTTTTTTTTTTCTTAGTCCAATTTATAGATCAACTGTGAGCCAAGCAGCCGTCTGAAGATACCTGACCTCCTCTCGTAAGCTTGCCCATTCATCAAGTCTTCACTGAGTCAAGTCTTTGAAATGAATTTGGAAAAAAGACTGTTTCCCACTTGAATACACTCAATCACAAAAACAATCTGATCTCAAAGAAGTTAAGGATGCTAAAGATGCTATTAAGAGAATGTCATGTTAAGGTACACAGTAATACTTGGTGGCATTATTCTAAAAGATGGCCTTAAAGTTCAACTTCATGTTAGTGATTCTGTTGAATCGTTAGTTCTGTCTTTTCCTCAGATTTCCAATATTCACACTGTGGCCATCTTCCTCTGATGTCATGATAAGGGTGCGACATTCAAATGTTATTAAAGTTGTATGGATGGCTTCAAGGTTTGCATAAAGATGATAAAGTATTTACATGATTAAGTGATTAATCCTAAAATGAGTTAATCTCAAAGTCTTGATACTGTACTGCTTCTTTTTGTTTTCCTAGAGAACATTTGCCATCGTGAGTATAGTGAAGACAGCGATAATGGTGTGATCATATCGTTAGCATAGCATGCCATACCTTATACTGGCGTGCAGGCAGGAGTCTGAGGCATTGCTTTTCTTCTCTGGAGCCTTGCTGAGGTCAGAGAGGCTGCTGCGGACCACCGCCTCACCCTCGTCGAACATCATGTGCAGCCGATAGTTGGCCATCTTGATTAGGATGAAGAAGACTGTGATGGAGGTACAGTAGATGCTCAAAGCCATGGTGGTAGGGGGCAGAGCCTGTTGGGAGGGAGAGAAGAGCTTCAGCTTTTCAAATCAACATCTCCAGAGACTTCTGACTCTACCGGGACAGTGTTTGGTTTAATGCTTGTAATTCTACCAGAGAAACAGGGTGGTCATTTGACCAAGTATGTTTTATGTTTTGTTGAATTTTACAATCCAATAATTAAAAAAAAATAGATGGTGCACTGTGGCTGCTAGAGCTTGAAGTTCAGTGAACCATGTGATCTAATAAGATTCGCTAGAGGATTGATGAGATGTATTGATCCCCAGAGGAGGAACAGCCCATACCAAAGAACAGGAAGATTTACGACAGAATATCTGCATCATACTGTTACATGAGTCATGCAAGTCTTGAGAGACCTCTTGCTGGACTGAACATTGTGGACAATTATTTATGGCTGACGGTAAAATTGTACAGACAGAAAAAAAATGCATGCTCCAGCGTAATAATCACTTTTATCAAAGTGTTTCCTCCACTTTCTTCCTTCATTGTGTGTGTGACCTTCAGATAAAACTGGCTAATAAACCTGAAATTTGAGCTCGTGTTGTTTTTGCACGGGAAGCAGTGATTGTTTCCAAACAGACTGCGAAAAATGTTGGCAACAACATTTCGATAGAGCTTTGGTGGCAAGCGTTTGCGCTGTCACTCTCCCTTTAAGTGCTTTTACTTTGCCATAGAAACTGTCCTTCATAGATGGATATTTTGAGATAGGCTGAACACATGTTAGACACACTTTTTTTTAAAAAGGAGGTAGATTCTATTATAATCTGCAATCTTTTCAATCAAATCCAGACAAACCTCACATACATATAAATGTTATTGAGAGTGTGAAATACATTATTCCAGTCCTTTATTTACATTCTAGCCAAATAAAAAAGTTGTTATTGCAACGTAAGCTGTGGGTGTTATAACTATTTCACTACTACTGCTGTTTGAGGCTGTTGTTGCCAGACATAAGGCTTGTAATTTAATTGCTATCATTTGTACTTCATCACAGCTAAGGTCAAGGTGTTTGACCCATACTAGCAACTCTTCCCTCGTGATTCCTCCTCAGCTCCTCCTCCTACCTCCCCACAGCTACAGCATCTCTTCACAACATAAACAGTTGCTGAAAAATACCACATGGACATTTAACTGTCAGGGTATTATAACTGGGTGTTATAACAGCTTTCTGGTCCCTATTTCAAAGGCCACGACATGAAAATAGTATTGAACCTCACGTTCAAGCATCCTGTCTCTTCCAATGCCACATCCAGGAGCAGCCATGCGTTTCCTCACCGCATGCAAGGAAAAAACACTGCGACAGTGCTGCATGCTTTCTCCAGCCTATAGTATTTCCTCCAGTAGGAACCAGACAATGAAGGGCATTAAAATCATGCATGGCCACAGCACGTTTATCCAAGAAAGGATTAGAAGGGCGCATGACAATACAACGTTAGGCTACCTATTGGCACCTCACACACTCCCTTCGCGGCCTTGAACGTCATGTTCCCTAAATAAAGACTCACCAGATGGAGAGACAGAGGCAACATCAGGAGAAATATCCACAGATAGAGGTGGCATGAGTTGTTGAATTTGTTCTGCTCCGGGTCGTGGTACCAACCCCCGGTCAGAGATGCCCAGACTCCCTGACGCAGGGTCTGCACAACCTGAGAAACCATCTCTGCTCCTCTGTCCTCCTCCTCCTCCTCCTCCTCCTCCTCTCCGCTCAGGTTGGACGGACGGATGGTGCCGCTGCTGCTAGGCTACAATGAAATGATCTCTTCTAATGCATGCCACTGTCGCTACGCCTCCATGTTGGGGCGATACGGCACGTCTCCTGAGCCTTCTCTCTCATGCCTTGTCGGTCTTTCTCGGTAAATTCCTCTCGGCTGTCTTTTCCCGTCCAAACGTCGATTCCTCCATTGCTGCTGCCGCGGTCCTCATCTTGTCCTGTTCGCCTCTCTCCTTCTCCCTTTCCACCTCTCCTCTCCTCTCCTCTAGCTGCCTGTACAGATGCGCCGCTCCGCCCGCCTGCCCTCCCTTTCCCCTCCTCCTCCTCCTCCTCCTCCTCCTCCTCCTCCTCTCTGCCTCCCTCCCTTACAGTCCTCAGCTCTTATATGATTCCCACCTTCACTCTTTAACTGCGCACAAAGCCAAGCTGTTTGCATGCAAAATTATTAACACAATCAATCCAAATATAGCAATTTTTTTTTCATTATAGCCTACTCGTTAGGCCTACATCTAATGTGTATTAGGTTTAAAGCCTAAATGTATCAGCTCATAGGCAAATACGGAGCCATAATCTATTATAAAAAGGCTATTGGTATTACAATTAGCCTATGTGCATTAGACTATTATTGCCACATTATTATCCACGGTAGTAGTGTAGAAGTAGGCTACTATTTGGATATGTTTTTGCATAGCCTTTATCATTATATTTATATCGCCTAACTTTATAAATAGGCTAGGAAACTTAAAATGGTACTGGCTATTGTGAAGTGTTTAACTTATTAACACAGCTATGAATAAATTAGAAGAGTTTACCCATCGGTAACTACGTTTTCGGTGTAATATTTTTTTTTTAAGTCTGCGTGCCTTTAGGTTATGTGTTTTGTCTTGTACTTCTTTCTTGCAATGGCAGCTTATTAGTAGGCCACTACACTACAGGTGCTGCAACACCTGACACGCAGGGTCCTTAACAATTGCTGCAGCGCACTAATCTATTTTCAATCAGTAGCAATAGTAGTTACATCTTATAAAAAATAAAAGGTCAGGTATTTTAAGAAGAGTTATAATAAGTGTGTGTGTGTGTGTGTGTGTGTGTGTGTGTGTGTGTTTGTGTCATCCTATATGGTCCACTATTCCCATAATTTCCCTGAAGGCGCGCTCTTCTCACAAATTCCTCTGCTAGCCCCTCCCTCCCCCCCTCCCCCCCCCCCTCCCCCCCTTACTGCTGCGACGGTCACATGTCACTGAATAACCAATCAGAGTCCACCACAGCGAGCCCCAGCGAGAGCCAGCGAGAGCAGCAGCAGCGTCCCACGGATCGTCGTCGGCACAGCCACTGCTGGGACAGACTTCGTCAGGCGAGAAACCGCGATGGGGGGGGTTGTTTTGATTAAAGTTGACGGATTTTTTTAATGCTTTTTTTTCTTTTTATACTCGCATTGAAGTTGAAACCCCGGATATTTGACGTGTTTTCTCGTGCTTTAACTGTCGACTGTTCTTCACATCCCGAAGGAGAAACAAACTTTGGGAATTATCTTCTAAAAAAAACTGAGCAACTTTTTCCACAACTACCTTACTAGTCAACGGGCTGACCTATGCTAAGCTAGCTCGCTAGACGGTGCTGTGGAAATCTCCTTTAAAAAAAAAGTCCACAAACGAGCTGGCAGACTTCACCTTTCGGGCTTTCTGTGACTGGGTGCGATTCACCGGCAGCTTTCAAAAGAGAGAAAGAACACCTGAGCCTCTCTCGTGTTTCCACAGAGCTTGACGGTGCAGGTGCACCTCTTGCGCCACCTGTGATAACTTGGTAACTTAGCTCGTGGAAAGCTAACTTTAGCTTTTTTCCATGTTAGCATTTAACAGTGACAGATAGTATGTTATTATCTGCTTTCAGGGTTTATTTGAGGTTTAAGACGGTGGTGGTTTATTATCATCTTGTGTATCGCTGCTAACATTTGGCCCATAGAGCAGTGGCTTCAGTCACATTTAATTATTTGGGCTAACCGGAGAAACTAACCTCGCTGGCTCGTTATTGACCCTCACACACTTTCACTGGAGTGGCGACGTGGATTCAGGGCTGCAGACGCTCATTCTCTCCCCCCCCCCCAAAAAAAGGACTTTGGACACGATTTGCCGTGTTTATCCTCATCACAGAGTCTCCTAGATGTGACACCATGAGAAGTTTAAGAAGTTGCCTTTCACTTTTTTAAAGTTTTTTTTAATTTTGTTTCTAAAAGCTCTGCAGCCTATGGTGCCGCTACGGCCACCGAGAAATGGATGTCTCGCAGGCCGCTTTCCCAAACGGTGAAGGGCGGCCGGGCGGCGGCGGCGGCGGCGGCGGCGGGACTCAGGAGCATGCCGGGACAGAGTCCCCCACAGTTCGGGCGTGGGCTCACTCGGCCCCGCTGTGCCCGACTCGGTCCCTGTGGACAGCCGCGTATGACTATGAGGCCAGCGGCGAGGACGAGCTCAGTCTCAGAAGAGGGGACGTGGTGGAGGTCCTGTCTAAGGATGCAGCGATATCCGGGGACGAGGGATGGTGGACGGGAAAAATCAACCGCCGGGTCGGAATTTTCCCCTCCAACTATGTCACCTACCAGCCCGCTATTTACCGCCTGCCTGCCGCGAGTGGGACGGTGGGTGTACCAGAGCGGGTCCCGAGCTCGCCCGTCAAGATCCCCTTCAGTGAACTTGTCCTGGAGGAGATCATAGGTGTGGGTGGATTTGGTAAAGTTTACCGGGGCACATGGAATGATCAGGAGGTCGCCGTGAAAGCGGCTCGACAAGACCCGGACGAGGACATCACAGCCACCGCTGGCAGTGTTAAACAAGAGGCGAAACTCTTCTCCATGCTGCAGCACCCCAACATCATCAAACTGGAGGGAGTGTGTCTGGAGGAGCCCAACCTGTGTCTGGTCATGGAGTATGCGCGAGGTGGGACACTGAACCGGGCGCTGACCGGAAGGCGCATCCCTCCACACATTCTGGTCAACTGGGCCGTGCAGATCGCACGCGGGATGCACTACCTACACGAGGAGGCCGTGGTACCCATAATACATCGTGACCTGAAATCCAGCAACAGTAAGCACAGTTTAATATGCATGTTTTGTGCGTGTACGTGAAAGAGAGAGAGATCCAATTTTAGGAGAAGACCCTGTGCAACCCACCTGTTGCACGTGGAGGACAACTTTATGTAAAGTTACGTTTTGGTCGCAGTCTTCTTAAACAGTTACATAAAGTTTAATACTACTCTACCTCAGAAAACCTCTCCATTACATTTGGAAGTTTCTCAAGTCTAGAACCACACAGATTTTTTTAAGTGCCTATAAATGACCAGGGGTTATTAAATCATGTTTACCTCATGGTTATCAGTTATTAGGTAAACATACCTGTGTTGTAGTCCTAACTTCTGTTTGCTTAAAACTCACTATTCCAAATATCTCATGGGCTGCACTGCCCTTTCTTTAGGATGTATGTCAAGGAGTCTTTCTGTATTAAGTGGTGGGGGATACCATCAAGAGGATGTGAAATTAAAGTCAGAGTTTGCTCAGCTGGGCTGCCTCCTTCCCCTGGATTCTCTCCCCCCCATCATCCTTTAAAACACACACAGACACACACACCTTCCCACCCCCTCTCTATGCCAAGCTGAAATGTTGTTCAAATAAAGTCAGTGATTTACCAAACACTAGCCAAACACACACCGTCCACACTGGCAGGCCATGTGCTCAACCAACAAGAGCTAATACCAGAGGTCACAGGGTAAAAAACTATCAAAATAATAAAGAAAACAATTTACTGAGTAGATTTTCTGTGAGCATTATTTACATATCTTATAGCTTATTCTGCCAGATATGTCTGTGTAGTTTCACAATTTCTGGAAGGAAACATGTTTTGAAAAATAAACTTTAAACTTATCTGAATTCTGACTTTTAAGGTGATTTAGCGGGGGTCATCGTGTAGTGAGAACTTGTTTCAGAGCAGCATTAGACCAGAGAGTTCTTACGAGGTCTTCAATTTGACAACAGGCCAGCAAACTTTAGTTTCCCTGGACTGAATAATGAATGGACAGGAGGACTCCAAAACAGAAAAAGAGTCTGAGTCAGATACCCACACTGACACAGGCTACCCACTTCATCTCAGGTGTGTTAATGTGTGTAATATGACTCCAAACACTGTTTCTCCCTTTGTGACCACAGAGTCTTGTTGACCTGAGGCCATGTGGGGAGCAGTGCTGGCATGCTGATGTCTGTAAATCTCCAGCTGTGAAATGGGGGCAGACCAGACCCTCTTTAATTACCAGATTAACTGAATCTCTGTAGTTACACATTTGAAGGGCCTTCCTGTGCAGACTGAGAACCAAAAGATTCATGCGTTCAAGTCACACGTTGCATATTCCCTGTTATAATTATAACGTGCAACAAATGCAGTTAAGCATTTAGGGTATTAAAGCGTTAACAAAAATGTTACCCATCATTTTAAACCAAACTTTAAAACAATGTGTTTTTGAACACGTGATTCTCCTTATGCCAAGTGATGGGGCAGTGTTGTGGAGCCCAACCCTAAGATTAGTCCAGTTTAAGAGTGGAGATTTGTGTTAATTATTAGGCAGATGGAGAGAAAGGATTTAACTATTGTTTAGACAGTTTGAGCTAATCGGATGTTTGGTGAACATACACAAACAATCCTCCCCCGAACAGGCACAGAGCTGCAAACACTAGTCTGTGTGTTTGTCCTGCCACTTCACTGTGAACTGGAGCAGTGTGTCTTTTAACGTAGTGTTTCCTGCATTTATGCCTTATTGTTGGCCAAGTGCCTGCTGGATAGCATAGTTTAAAAGTTAAAAAGTTAGAATACAGCTGGGCATTGTCTCTTTTTATTTACTAAACAACAACTATACAAAAATATTCTTAAGGTACACTGGTTAAAAGTCAGCCACTTATTCCCCAACCCCCAGAAAACACAAAGATGGGGAGGCTTAAAGAAGAGCAGTAAAAACATCTTGTACTTAAATCATTCAGTGAGCTGTTTTCCACGTTGTGTTTCTTTTCTGTCTCCATATTTACACCTGCATGTTGCTATGTTTAAACCACATATCCTTTATGGTTAGTTTGTCCATCGTTGAACATTTAAACTCACTGCATGGCCAAGTAAACAATGTAATAGACAAATAAACCGGACTGCAGAGAACACTTGTACCTAAAACAGGAATATTTACATAAAAAGTGCTTTATAGAACTTATATTTACTTTTGTTGAACTTCGAACATTTAGTTCTGATAGGAATACACTGACCTACAGAGAGCTTAGTTTTAACTAAAGAGTCAGTACTTAAAGCCTAAGAAGAGATGAATCACATTGTGCTAATTGTAGACCTTGTAATACTATGGAACTCAGAGTTTTCCCTAAAGAATATTCATTTGCTTTTTTGGGGGATTTTATTCTTCATTTCCACTTCACAAAAAGAGACTCTAGTTTTTGGCATTCGCAACATTTGCTCACAACGGTGAGAAGTCTAAACAGCTGTAGTCAATACAGTCTTATCTGAAAAAAGAGAGACTAAAGTAAGCTGTGTATGTGTTTGCTTTGAGCCAGGGCAGTGAGTTCACAAAGGACTCTCCTACACACAAACACAAAAATGGCCCCCTGTGGTGTGTTGGGTTGATTTTCCTGTATAAAAAAGCAGCATAATGCTGCTTAGAGAAAATGTTGCATCTGCTAGTTTTAGTCTGTTGTCTGTTTGTTTTGGTGTATTGTACATCTGTCAGTCTAAAAGGATGCACGGGGGGGTGAACATGAAAAAGATACATTGCAATGGTTGTTAAATGGCAATCTTTCACTATTTAATGAGCAAATTGTCTGTTGTTGTGTCTGTACATCTTCTCCATTTCCCTTTTTGACACTTCAGTATTTTTCCCGCTTAAGTGAAACCAGGTCATAGACAGGTAAATACAGTAAATAGAACCTAACTTCTCCATCTCCTCTTACTACTCTGCCTGTCATTTATCAACTTGCAGTGTACACATGCTCCACACAGACAAACATACAGCTATTTGATCAATGATTAGCCTGTAAAGTAATATGTTGGAAGTCAGCAAGATTTGTCCAATCTCTTTTGTGTTTTTCAACCTAATCTGTAAAATCCCAGCCTGCAGGGAGGAATGTTGCTAATGAGGGATAAAAGCTTAACATACGTTTGCACAATGGACTGGTCAAGCAGCGGTTGCTAGGCTACTGTGACCAGAAGAATGGCTAGGACTCGGAGGGTCTCAAAGCCCTCGTTTTGTTTTGTTCGGTTCATATTTAATCTCCCAGAGAGCAGCGGTACTCTTTTATTGCCACAAACTGAGGGGGTTTCCCTTCTTACTTCGTTATTTTGCTCCTTACTTACCTTCCCTCCCTTTTTCCCTTCTGCTCCCTCTTACTCTCTTACTACTTTTATTATTTTTCTTGTCTACTATTAAGCCCACACAATTTTCAAACAGGAATGTTGGAGTCACTTATACTTTAAATATTAATCAAAAAACCTTGAAAACGCCAAAAATTATACTATAAAGATGAGAAATTGTGCATGTGGCTATAGCATGTTTTATTTAGATCTGTCATCAAAGTTATTCTGTTTGCTAGTACAGTTGTGTTGTTGGTTCCATGTTTTCATTGTTTCACTTAATGTGACAAACAGGAATTCAACATATTCATGAAGAAGCCAATTTTTCTCGGAAACCGAACTCAGAGAGGGAAGTTAAAATGTTGTTTTAACTTTCTGTTGCTTTTTTAAAATGCTCTGTACATCCTCTTATTGTAGGGAATCTGACTAACTCTTAATTCACTGCTTCTTACGTGGTCAAAGTTTCCAAATATGTTGACAATTTGAAATACTGGCCCTTGATCCTCTGAATTGTCTCACACTGTGCAGAAAATACTTGATGTATTAGGTAAGATGGATGAACTATTTTGGCCTTCTTATGCGTTTGTATCAATTTATATAATTTAGTTATTTATTCATGTATTCGAGAGGAAAATGTAGACTAATCATTTCTGTAGATATGCCAGTGTTAGTAAGCTGGCTAAGCTACACCTGTAAATCCAAATAATGTATTGTTCAAAGTAACAAATAAGAAAGACGGCAAATAAATTCATTCTGTTCATTCTGAACAACATGCAGAGAAACAGACATCAGCGAAACATTAGTGCAGTATCAAAGCCAAACTATTTGAACATGCGGCCATGCAATCAACTCAAAACAACATAACACAGGAAAGAGAAGGAGGCTGTAACTGTGAGACATTTCTTTACATACACGCTTATCAGCAATAAGGCATACACTACAACCATCATAATCTTTGTCTGGATAGAATGTAGACAGGTCTTTCTCGGCTGTATCCCTGTGTTGCTAAACTAAAAACATCATTAACCCTTTCCTGTATCTGTTTCAAAAACATTCTCCCTTCCAGCTAGGAGTGGTTGCATTCATTCATCAGTAAATAAGAGCAAGAAATCACACTGAAACCTGGCCCTGAGCCAGCACTCATAACCCACTTTGACTTCAGAGTTTCACATCATGTAGCAGGCGATAGTATGCCAGGAATGTGTGCTTGAACTGTGTGCTGAAACCGATTGAGTTCCGTTTGGAGCGTGTGCAACAGCATTCTCCCATCAATCTTAAGCTATTGTTTGACTTCATCGTTCTGTCTCTGTGCTCCCCCCCCCCGTCTCTCTCTCTCTCTCTCTCTCTCTCTCTCTCTCTCTCTCTATCTATCTCCACATAGCCCTCATTCTGCCGATCTGTGCAGACTTTGCATAAGTCATAGCAGCACAGAAAGGGTTTTCTTCTATGTCAGCACTCTACACACTGGGATAATTACAGATGAAGAAAATAAATGGAGAGTGCAAGTGTTGAATTCAGAGTTAAGAGGGCTAACCTTCACAAAACTGAAGAACCCTGGTTTGATCTAGAACACACAGCAGCAAGAGAAAGGCCAAGGGCTTGTGCGCCTGTCATTTCCATCTCTATACATTAAACACCTAGTTCTATAATAAGTTAGGTTGAAATGTGTGGTTTGTTTTGATGAGTCATATTCCCCT